TTTGCAATACGGCATCAAGGTAATATTTACCAATGACCTGAGGATTTTTATTAGTCGGACCCACTTCGAGCCAGATCAACCTTCTGGAAAAACCATCAATGCACCCATGTATATTAAACCCGAAAGGTTTCAACTTATCATGGCCGTCTATGTGCCATATATGATTGGGTCCCCGAGATGAATAAGCTCTTCTTCGAAGCCTTTTCTTTGCTCTACTTTGCACTCCTTGAGGATCTAGTTTTACCAAACATTTTCGAATAACGTCCCTTCGAACAGTAATACCATACTTAGTTGATATATGTTTCCACATTTTGCGATATCCAACATTGCATTTACTGCCAGCTAATTCAATCTCCACAATACACTCGATTTCCTCTTGTGTCAATTGTTCTTCGGCTGGAACACGTCTTCGAAGTCCTAGGATTCTTAATCTTCTTTTAAGTGTCGATAAGCTGAATTCTATTCCATGAAGCTTAAGAAATTCTAGAATTTCATGGTTGGTGAACCCTTGTTGAAAATAACTTGTTATTAGCTCAGTTTCATCTCGTCCATGCCTTCGGTCAACGTTCATGCATGGAATGTAGTCATTTAGAGGCATAATAAAGGTATAAAATACTGATTTAAAGTAGGGACAAATAGCACACTATCAGATCAAAATAATCAACTCATTTAACAACGAACTTTTCGGTAAAATACGAAACTGCGTATGTCTGTGTAAAAATTGTTTGGCACTGAAAGTTAAACTGAACTGTTAATAAAATTTGAAACTAAACTGTTTGTTAAAATTTACTAAACTGTTTGGTAAAAATTAAAACTGAACTGTCAAAATATAAACAGAACTGTGTGTTTGTGAAGCAAAACTGAACTGTGTTAAAATGTAAAACTGAACTGTCAAATTGAGAACTGAACTATGGAAATTTAAACTGAACTGCTAAAAAATAAAACTGAACTGTCTAAGAATAAGAACTGAACTGTGACCCTTGTGGGCCATCGTAGTATAGTTCTCTCACAGTTCAGTTCTGATTTTTGTACAGTTCACACACAGTTCAGTTATGAATTTCGTACAGTTCAACACAGTTCAGTTCTGATTTTCGCACAGTTCACACAAAGTTCAATTCTGATATTTGTATAGTTCTCTCACAGTTCAGTTCTGATTTTTGTACAGTTCACACACAGTTCAGTTATGAATTTCGTACAGTTCAACACAGTTCAGTTCTGATTTTCATACAGTTCACACACAGTTCAGTTCTGATTTTTGTATAGTTCATTCACAGTTCAGTTCTGATTTTCGTACAGTTCACACACAGTTCAGTTCTGATTTTTGTACAGTTCAACACAGTTCAGTTCTGATTTTGGTCAGTTCACACACAGTTCAGTTCTGATTTTCGTACAGTTCACACACTGTTCAGTTCTGAATTTCGTACAGTTCACACACAGTTCAGTTCTGATTTTTGTACAGTTTAACACAGTTCAGTTCTGATTTTCGTACAGTTCACACAAAGTTCAGTTATGATATTTGTATAGTTCTCTCACAGTTCAATTCTGATTTTTGTACAGTTCACGCACAGTTCAATTCTGAATTTCGTACAGTTCTCTCACAGTTCAATTCTGATTTTTGTACAGTTCACACACAGTTCAGTTCTAAATTTCGTACAGTTCAACACAGTTCAGTTCTGATTTTCGTACAGTTCACACACTGTTCAGTTTTGATTTTTGTATAGTTCATTCACACTTCAGTTCTGATTTTCGTACATTTTACACACAGTTCAGTTCTGATTTTCGTACAGTTTAACACAGTTCAGTTCTGATTTTCGTACAGTTCACACACAGTTCAGTTCTGATTTTCGTACAGTTCACACACTGTTCAGTTCTGATTTTTGTTCAGTTCTACACAGTTCAGTTCTGATTTTCGTACAGTTCACACACAGTTCAGTTCTGATATTTGTATAGTTTTCTCAAAGTTCAGTTCTGATTTTTGTACAGTTCACACTGTTCAGTTCTGATTTTTGTTCAGTTCTACACAGTTCAGTTCTGATTTTCGTACAGTTCACACACAGTTCAGTTCTGATATTTGTATAGTTTTCTCAAAGTTCAGTTCTGATTTTTGTACAGTTCACACACAGTTCAGTTCTGTTTTTCGTACAGTTCAACACAGTTCAGTTGAACGATATTAGTCTTAGGAAGCCATTTTCAGCATCTTAAAACAGTTTTTGAACAAAGGGGTAAGCCTTTCCATTTTGGTCAATTTTGACGACTTTTTCAACTTTTCAAAAAGTGTCTCAAAATGCTCTAAAATGAAAGATATTAGTCTTAGGAAGCTTTTTTTAGGATTTTAAAACAGTTTTTGAAAAGTTCAAAAAGTTGTCAAAATTGACCAAAATGGTAAGGGGTAAGCCATTTTGATTACTTTTTCAACTTTTCAAAAAGTGTCCTAAAATGCTCTAAAATGAAAGATATTAGTCTTAGGAAGCTATTTTTAGCATTTTAAAACAGTTTTTGAAAAGTTGAAAAAGTCGTCAAATTGAATAAAATGGTAAGGGGTAAGCCTTACCATTTTGGTCAATTTTGACGACTTTTTGAACATTTAAAAAACTGTTTTAAATGCTAAAAATAGCTTCCTAAGACTAATATCTTTCATTTTAGAGCATATTTGGTTATTTTTGATCAATGGTTCAAAAACTGTCTTAAAATGCTAAAATGGCTTCCAAAGACTAATATCTTTCATTTATATCATATTTGGTTGGTTTTTTGAACATTGAAAAAGTCGTCAATTTTGCCTTTAAGTATTGAAATGTATTATTTTATGGCACGTATCAACACACAATGCGGTGGCCTAGTGGTTAAGAATCCTGCGAGGGTAAGTGTAATTTTTCCCACCTAAATTGCTATTTAATTTAAAATTCTTCGAATAGGATTTAGTAAATAAAAAACAAGAACTATTGATAAATGATGCTGTGGCCCAGTGGTTAAGACTACCGGCTACCAGGTTGTGAACCTAGGTTCGAATCCTGCCTGAAAAAAGTTCGATTTTTCCCACCGAAATTATTCTTTAATTTAAACTTTATCGAAAAGGATTAGGTCAAATAAAGAACAATAGCTTTCAACAAATGATGCGGTGGTCTAATGGTTAAGACGTTCGTCTTTCAATCCGAGGACTAATGCTTCAACTCCTGGCAATGCAACAAAATTAGCCTAAAAAATTTCAGTGTGACTTGGAATGTTTAAAACAGTTAAAATACTTCTCGGCCTTTGCAAAAGACAGTAAATTGGAAAAAATTTGAAATATAAAAACCAAAAAAAATCTATCGCCTTCAAAAGTACCTGAAAATTGAAAGAAAAGCACAAGAAAAAAGAGTTCTAAAAACACGAATCTTCTAAAAAGCCTGAAAATGAAGAACGTCGGCCGGGAAAAAAATTTAACAATGTCCCGCTTTTAAAAAACTCATGTTTACTTACCTTAATTTTTTTTCACGAAAATTTGACAGGGTGATTTTCTCGAGAGTGAAAAAATCTAATTTTTTTCACTTTTTTGAAATTCTCCAAGGTTTTTTTTTACGAAGATGTATTTTGTCTTGGGCTAGCTGTGTCAATCTTGGGCTACCTGTGTCTGGCTTGACACAGGTAGCCCAAGACATAATACTTTTTCGTAAAAAAAATCTCAGAGATAAACTAGAGATATAAAAGAGAAAAATAGAAAATAAACCAGAGACCACAAGACAAAAATCAAGTTTTTTCTAAAACTTTTCAAAAAACATTTAGAAAATACTTAGAGAAAAACATTAAGAAGAAACTAGAGAAAAAAACTAAGCAGAAAAATAGAAAAAAACTAGAAAAATAAAAGAAAAAACCAGAGAAAAGAAAACTAACTAGAAAAACTAGAAAAAAAAACTAGAGAATAAAAGACAAGAGAAAAAAGAAAAAAAAAACTAGAGAAATAGAAGAAAAAAACCGAAAAAAAACTAACTAGAAAAACAAACAAGAGAAAAACATTAAGAAAAAACTAGAGAAAACACTAAGTAGAAAAATAGAAAAAAACTCGAGAAATAGAAAAAAAAACCAGAGAAAAGAAAACTAACTAGAAAAACTAGAGAAAAAAAAAGAAAAAAACATTAGGGAAAACTGGAGAAAAAAACTAAGTAAAAAAATAAAAAAAAACTAGAGAAAAAGAAGAAAAAACCAGAGAAAAGAAAACTAACTAGAAAAACTACACAAAAAAACTAGAGAATAAAAGACATGAGAAAATAGAAAAAAAACTAGATAAATAAAAGAAAAAATAGAGAAATAGAAGAAAAAAACTAAAGAAAAAAAAACTAGAGCAATTGAAGAAAATACTAACAGATTTAATTTAGAAAAATACTAAAAAATACTAAGAGGTTCAACTTAGAATTGTCAAGTCACACAGAAGAACTTGCAAAATAAACTAACTAGACTAACTAGAAAAACTAGAGAAAAAAACAAGAAAAAAACATTACGAAAAAACTAGAGAAAAAAAATAAATAGAAAAAAAACTCGAGAAATAGAAGAAAAAACCAGAGAAAAGAAAACTAACTAGAAAAACTACAGAAAAAAACTAGAGAATAAAAGACAAGAGAAAATAGAAAAAAAAACTAGATAAATAAAAGAAAAAATAGAGAAATAGAAGAAAAAACTAGAGAAAAAAAAACTAGAGCAATCGAAGAAAATACTAACAGGTTTAACTTAGAAAAATACTAAAAAATATAAAGAGGTTTAATTTAGAATTGTCAAGTCACACAGAAGAACTTGCAAAATAAAAACACTGACACCTCAGACGAAAAAGGTTTATTTCTTAAACTTTACAAAGAAAAAAGATTTATAAATCCAAGTTTTGAAAATTGTCACATTATTCATAACATTTCACACTAAAAAATATTAATCAATGAAACTGGGTGCCTTTCAACTTTCTTCAACACCAAAGAAAAAAAGAATTTCATCAAAAAAATAATAAGAGAAAATATATTTAGAAAAAATACTAATACTAAGAAGAAATTAAAGAGAAAAGAAGTATGAGAAAAAGCCAAAAGCAACTGCTAAAATATTTTCATTTGTGAAAGCACAGGGAAAAACATGCAAAATCAAAACACCAACACCACCAGACAAAAAAGTTTACTTCTTAAACATTACAAAGAAAATTTTCTCTTTATAAATCCAAGTTTTGAAAATTGTCACATAATTGATCACATTTCACACATGTTATCACACACTAAAATATTCAATGAATCTAGGATAGGGCTAAAATAATTCAGGTTCTTCTGGGGTGCCTTTCAACTTTCTTCAACTTCATTCATTCTAAAGAGAAAAAGCATTTCATCAATCCTTTTACGCAAAAAGTTGTATTTTCAACCTGACATCATTATTAAAAGATATTACTCATTATCTTACTTTAGCCATCTTTCATGGATAGACAATACATTCGTGAATGCATTTTGTTTTATGCCAATTATATTTTAGCTGTTTTCAATAAAAAGAATGTGTCACATGCATATATTCAACCCAGAAATATGTCACTATTTAATTTGAACACAGAAAAACTGGGTACCACCCTTCTGAGTACTACAGAATATAAATCACATGGAAATCAGAAAAATTTCTCCCAAGTTTAAAATAGTAATTGCTGGTCTTTTTCATGGATATTTATTGTAAGACCACCACAGGAATTATAGTAATCAGCCAGACTTGTTCAGCTGTTATAGCATTAAGTTTCATCATTGGTTTCACACATGGTGACCATAGAAGCAAATTTCAATTTCATTGTTGTCATCTCAACAATGTAGTGGCTTTTTAAAATCAAATGCTGACCATCCATGACAAAATCAAATTACCTCAGTGCAGATATCTTGTTCACTTTTCAATCAATGTACATCTGACAGTAAAGTTCATATCCACGACTCATGTTGCACTCTTGACCAGGGAAAATCTTGAATATTACAAGAACACATGATTAATATAAAATTGCATTTTCAACTATCTTAATTATTGTCTAGTTTTTGGTCAGGCATTCTATGGTTACTTCATCCCTCTATATAAATATGCTATATTTATTCAAAGCCCACCACAGGAATTTATCATTGGTGACCACATAGAGAGCATAGAAGCAAAGTTCACTTAGCAATCCTAACAAAATTGTGACTGCCTGACGATTTTAATGAAGATCCTAGTTGCAGCAAATTCCCCCTTATACTAAATAACAAAATATATATCTGGGCGGTTGATATATATTACAAGGTCACTACAAGAATTTCAGCTGCAAGGCTAATATAAATTTTGAAGGAACAATCAAATTACCTCTGCAAAAATCTTGTTCACTTCCAATTTTCCTCTGACAGTAAAGTCCATATCCACAGCAGCTAATGTGGCTGGTTGCACTCTTGATCAAGGAAAATCTTGAATATATAAAGAAGTTATTATTAAGACAAAATTCCATTTTCAACTATCTTAATTATTGTCTAGTTTTTCGTCAGGTATTCTATGGTTACTTCATCCCTCTAATATAACTATGGTTGCTATATTTATTCAAAGACCAGCACAGGAATTTATTACTGGTGACACATAGTGAGTATAGAAGCAAAGTTCACTTTATAATCATAACAAAATTGTGACTGCCTGATGATTTTCATGAAGATCCTAGTTGCAAAAATTCCCCCTTATAGTAAATAACAAAATATATATCTGGGCGGTTGATATATATTAAGGTCACTACAAGAATTTCAGCTGCAAGGCTTATAATTTTGAAGGAACAATCAAATTACCTCTGCAAAAATCTTTTTCACTTCCAATTTTCCTCTGACAGTAAAGTCCATATCCACAGCAGCTAACGTGGCTGGTTGCACTCTTGATCAAGGAAAATCTTGAATATATAAAGAAGTTATTATTAAGAAAATTCCATTTTCAACTATCTTAATTATTGTCTAGTTTTTCGTCAGGTATTCTATGGTTACTTCATCCCTCTATATATAACTATGGTTGCTATATTTATTCAAACCAGCACAGGAATTTATTACTGGTGACACATAGTGAGTATAGAAGCAAAGTTCACTTTATAATCTTAACAAAATTGTGACTGCCTGACGATTTTCATGAAGATCCTAGTTGCAGCAAATTCCCCCTTATACTAAATAACAAAATATATATCTGGGCGGTTGATATATATTACAAGGTCACTACAAGAATTTCAGCTGCAAGGCTAATATAAATTTTGAAGGAACAATCAAATTACCTCTGCAAAAATCTTGTTCACTTCCAATTTTCCTCTGACAGTAAAGTCCATATCCACAGCAGCTAATGTGGCTGGTTGCACTCTTGACCAAGGAAAATCTTGAATATATAAAGAAGTTATTATTAAGACAAAATTCCATTTTCAACTATCTTAATTATTGTCTAGTTTTTCGTCAGGTATTCTATGGTTACTTCATCCCTCTATATATAACTATGGTTGCTATATTTATTCAAAGACCAGCACAGGAATTTATTACTGGTGACACATAGTGAGTATAGAAGCAAAGTTCACTTTATAATCTTAACAAAATTGTGACTGCCTGACGATTTTCATGAAAAAGATCCTAGTTGCAGCAAATTCCCTTTATAATAAATAACAAAATATATATCCGGGCAGTTGATATGTATTACAAAGTCACTACAAGAATTTCAGCTGCAAGGCTAATATAAATTTTGAAGGAACAATCAAATTACCTCTGCAAAAATCTTGTTCACTTCCAATTTTCCTCTGACAGTAAAGTCCATATCTACAGCAGCTAATGTGGCTGGTTGCACTCTTGACCAAGGAAAATCTTGAATATATAAAGAAGTTATTATTAAGACAAAATTCCATTTTCAACTATCTTGATTATTGTCTAGTTTTTCGTCAGGTATTCTATGGTTACTTCATCCCTCTATATATAACTATGGTTGCTATATTTATTCAAAGACCAGCACAGGAATTTATTACTGGTGACACATAGTGAGTATAGAAGCAAAGTTCACTTTATAATCTTAACAAAATTGTGACTGCCTGACGATTTTCATGAAGATCCTAGTTGCAGCAAATTCCCCCTTATAATAAATAACAAAATATATATCCGGTTGATATATATTACAAGGTCACTACAAGAATTTCAGCTGCAAGGCTAATATAAATTTTGAAGGAACAATCAAATTACCTCTGCAAAAATCTTTTCACTTCCAATTTTCCTCTGACAGTAAAGTCCATATCCACAGCAGCTAATGTGGCTGGTTGCACTCTTGATCAAGGAAAATCTTGAATATATAAAGAAGTTATTATTAAGACAAAATTCCATTTTCAACTATCTTAATTATTGTCTAGTTTTTCGTCAGGTATTCTATGGTTACTTCATCCCTCTATATATAACTATGGTTGCTATATTTATTCAAAGACCAGCACAGGAATTTATTACTGGTGACACATAGTGAGTATAGAAGCAAAGTTCACTTTATAATCTTAACAAAATTGTGACTGCCTGACGATTTTCATGAAAAAGATCCTAGTTGCAGCAAATTCCCCCTTATAAAATAACAAAATATATATCCGGGCAGTTGATATATATTACAAAGTCACTACAAGAATTTCAGCTGCAAGGCTAATATAAATTTTGAAGGAACAATCAAATTACCTCTGCAAAAATCTTTTCACTTCCAATTTTCCTCTGACAGTAAAGTCCATATCCACAGCAGCTAATGTGGCTGGTTGCACTCTTGACCAAGGAAAATCTTGAATATATAAAGAAGTTATTATTAAGACAAAATTCCATTTTCAACTATCTTAATTATTGTCTAGTTTTTCGTCAGGTATTCTATGGTTACTTCATCCCTCTATATATAACTATGGTTGCTATATTTATTCAAAGACCAGCACAGGAATTTATTACTGGTGACACATAGTGAGTATAGAAGCAAAGTTCACTTTATAATCTTAACAACATTGTGACTGCCTGATGATTTTCATAAAGATCCTAGTTGCAAAAAATTCCCCCTTATAGTAAATAACAAAATATATATCTGGGCGGTTGATATATATTACAAGGTCACTACAAGAATTTCAGCTGCAAGGCTAATATAAATTTTGAAGGAACAATCAAATTACCTCTGCAAAAATCTTTTTCACTTCCAATTTTCCTCTGACAGTAAAGTCCATATCCACAGCAGCTAAGTGGCTGGTTGCACTCTTGATCAAGGAAAATCTTGAATATATAAAGAAGTTATTATTAAGACAAAATTCCATTTTCAACTATCTTAATTATTGTCTAGTTTTTCGTCAGGTATTCTATGGTTACTTCATCCCTCTATATATAACTATGGTTGCTATATTTATTCAAAGACCAGCACAGGAATTTATTACTGGTGACACATAGTGAGTATAGAAGCAAAGCTCACTTTATAATCTTAACAAAATTGTGACTGCCTGACGATTTTCATGAAAAAGATCGTAGTTGCAGCAAATTCCCCCTTATAATAAATAAAAAAATATATATCCGGGCAGTTGATATGTATTACAAAGTCACTACAAGAATTTCAGCTGCAAGGCTAATATAAATTTTGAAGGAACAATCGAATTACCTCTGTGCAAATCTTGTTCACTTCCAATGTTCATTTGAAAGTAAAGTTCATATCCACAGTTAATGTTGCACTCTTGTCCAAGAAAAATCTTGAATATAAAAAGACATTATTAATATAAAATTCCATTTTCAACTATCTTAATTACTGTCTAGTTTTTGGTCAGGTAATCTATGGTTACTTCATCCTTCTATATATAACTATGGTTGCTATATTTACTTCAAGACCACCACAGGAATTTATTACTGGTGACACATAGTGAGTATAGAAGCAAAGTTCACTTAGCAATCTTAACCAAATTGTGACCGCACTGACAATTTTCATGAAAAAGATCCTAGTTGCAGCAAATTCCCTCTTATACTATTGAAATAACAAAATACATACCCAGGCAGTTGATATGTATTACAAGGTAGTGACAAGATTTTCAGCTGCAAGGCTAATATAAATTTAGAAGAAACAATCGAATTACCTCTGTGCAGAAATCTTGTTCACTTCCAATGTTGACCAAGGAAAATCTTTAATATAATAAGACATTATTAATATAAAATTGCATTTATAACTACCTTAATTATTGTCTAGTTTTAGCAGAAGGCACACAAACAGTAAAGTAAAATACTTAACTTTGACCAGACAGCACAACAATCTTGCTCAGAAAGGTCCGCGAACGGTCCACGTGTATAGTTTTCTTCGGCATCGCCATTTTGAATTCGGCCGGGCGAGTCTTGAACTGATTTCTATTTCAACTGTTCTCTTGACGTTCGTCTTGATAACTAGCTGTTGAGATAAACGTTAATGACAAAATCTTCAGTTCTGCTTCAGTCTATGGGTACGAAAATTGCTCAAGACATAAATTTTCAGTAAAAAATTATCATCATTGCAGGCAAAATTAATCTCGAAACTTTAGATAACCTTGTACGCAGAATATTTCATATTGTATATGGTTTTTTGTTATTTCTGACCGACAATTAGCAGAAGGCACACAAACATCAAAGTAAAATACTTAACTTTGACCAGACAGCACAACAATCTTGCTCAGAAAGGTCCGCGAACGGTCCACGTGTATGGGATCGCCATTTTGAATTCGGCGGGCGGCGAGTCTTGAACTGATTTCTATTTTCTATTTCAACTGTTCTCTTGACGTTCGTCTTGATAACTGGCTGTTGAGATAAACGTTAATGACAAAATGTTCAGTTCTGCTTCAGTCTATAGGTGCGGAAGTTGCTCATGACATAAATTTTCAGTAAAAAATTATCATCATTGCAGGCAGAATTAAGTTCGAAATTTTAGATAACCTTGTACGCAGAATATTTCATATTGTATATGGCTTTTTGTCATTTCTGGCCAACAATTAGCCGAAGGCACACAAACATCAAAGTAAAATACTTAACTTTGACCAGACAGCACAACAATCTTGCCCAGAAAGGTCTGCGAACGGTCCAGGTGGATGGTTTTCTTTGGCATCGCCATTTTGAATTTGGCCGGGCGAGTCTTCGCATTCATCTTGACAACTAGCTGTTCAGATAAACCTATATACAACGAAAAAAAAGGGTTCGGCTCAGCTACACTGTACTCCTTAAGGAAGGCCTACGGCCTTCCCGTAGATTAGTGTAAAGGCCTACAAGTGGGAACTAGCAGCGTGCGGGGGACCAAAACGCTCTAGGCAAACGGTCCCCCTACTGGGGTCGGACAAAGCAACCGCAGATTACGCATATAATCGCCGGAACCCACCTTTTAGTCAACGGCGAACTCCTTCTTCTTCGAACAATCTTCAATCTTGCTGAGCTTCGATCTTGCTGTCCACCTTCGATCGCCACCAATCTAAAGAAATTTTTTTTTAACGTTGAGATTAGTTTCATAGGCAATAATTACCATGTGATCTTAGCAGATCACGTGGTATGATAATGTACGACAACATGCCGATCAACTCCGAACATCATCGTGAGCGATGTTACTATAAACGAATCACTAAACGCCTAGAAAAAAGTTGTCCTTTCCTATATTTCAACCTTTTAAAAGCAGTGCATTCTAGTTTTGTTTTGAAGCACAATTTGTTTTTTGCTTCTAGTTTTTTGGTTTCGTTTTAAAAGGTGAATTGTCTCTGTGTGCCGAATTCTTTGTATTTCTGATGTCAAACATCCTGTTCTTTTTGGTATCATAAATATAAGCTCCTTTGTTTTGGAGACATACAACAGTTTTTTTTATATTTTAGCCAAAACATATAGCAGCAATTACAGATTCACTAAGTTCATTCTCATCTTGATTCACAAATTTTTAAAGGACTTGAATCGATTCCATGCGGTCTACAATAGCTGGGCGAACGTCTTACACCTAAAGTCAGTCAAAGATTGTTGTATCTCAATTCTTCAGCTTCAGTGGTTCTTTAGACTTAGCAATAGTTTATTTCCCTTTCTTATCATTGCATTCCAGTTTAAAATTATAGTTTATATTGTATTTCCAGGCATTTATTCCATATTTCCCTTTCTTATCATTGCATTCCGGTTTCAATTTATAGTTTATATTGTCAGACAATAATTGTCTTTCCAGGCATTTATTCCACTACATATCTCCAATATTGTAAAAGTGGTTCTTTAACCCTCAGATCAAAACATTGGCAAAAACAATCTGAAACACAAAATATTAACATCAGACTCTGATAAAACAACATTGAATCAACGTTTAAACAATTCTACTTCCCCTCATTCTAAGGCTACTAAATGGTGCTGACCCCTCTTATATATCAAACTACATGCATCAACCTGCCTTGGCAAAAACAAAAACGGGCTTTAAAGAGTTAGTTTTCCATTTCTTTTCTTAGCACTTAATCGAATGTTTCAAAATACAAACTAATTTGGCAACACAGGTCCCACAATTATGTCAAACACCGAATACATGGTCTGAAATAATTCGCCATTCCTCTCGCCTCTCGACTGAAGGCGGATTTTTTAATAAAATTAAACCACAAATCTTTCTTAAAACTACTGCACCCTTACTGAAGTGTTCGGTTGGGGCATGGAATGTTAAAATAAAACAAAAACAACACACTATTAAAAAAAGTACGAAAATTTAATAAAATGGCGGCTTACTGCCTTACCTCGTGGTTTTCAAATCGCCTTTCACTTCATTTCTCGCTGGACTTTTAATCTAACAAAGCAGAAAAAATGAACGTCATTTACGTGAAATAAATGCTTTGGCATAACAAACATTCTTACTCTAAAACGTTGAACTAATGCAAAAGAAATCGACCGAAAAAATATTCAGAAAATTCCAACATTCGATGCGCGAGGACGAAGTCATATTAAAAAAGGCAGCAAACAAAAACATACGCTTATAAGATATATATCTAGATATACTTATAATCGGAATATCTTTTTCTCAACAAGCTTCACTTCATTAAAATAACTTTATAGTTTCTCTTTAAAACATAGAAAATTAAAAAATTTCCGGGCTTTCCTTCCTTCGCCTTTCTTCTCCGAAATCTATCCTCGTTACCCGGTTTTTCGCGTACTGGGCGTGCCGAATGCCCCCCCTGATTTGTGCACAATTTACCGTACAATTTTATATTATTGATACTGCATGTCTAAATTCTAAAACGATCAATATTTTCAATACATTCAATATTTTTCAGGTAATTAGTTATTGTATTTAAAATTAATTGTGATAATGATTTATTTGATTCTTTCTCCATGTAAATAATCATGAGAACAAGCATAGGCATAGAGTATGGGGGCTGAGGGGCTCAGCCCCCCCAAGAAATCTTACTGGGGGGCCTCAGCCCCCCTAAAAATTTGCCAAAAAGTAATAATTGCATCAGAGCAATGTTGAATCTTTCAAAAAAGATCTTTATATACACATGAAACGGTATTATTATAGTTGATATTATAATATATCGAGCAACTCGGAAAAGCAATTGCGAAATACAGAATTTTCAAGCTGTAAATCATAAAATACATGGCAGCTTGTAAAATCATAAAATACATGGCAGCTTGTTCATTTTATCTTTCATTAGCTTTTCTACCCACAACAGGTCAAAATCATTGGTAAATATTTTCTCCACCTATCGGCCATATGAACCATGACTACCGATGCAACTATATATCAAGAGGAAATTTATTCTATTTAATTTTATCTAATGTCAGAAAGTGTTGCTAGCTAGATATCATGTATCTAAAGTTTAAGCCCCCCAGAAGAAAACAAAACTCTAAACCTATGAGAACAAGTTTCAAAATTCATGTTTGTAAATTCATAAATCCTTGCTCTTTGCACAAAATTCCTCAGTCAGCACTTTTTTATTGCTAAGACTCCCAGTGCAATCAATTACTCAGGCTTTTTGGAAAACCTGGAAGGATGGCCCACAAAATCAATTTGGAATTTCCCACAATTTGCATAACCATCCAGAGCTCCCATTTTCATCATATAATACCAATAAAGATACAGTACAGATATCAGATATACAGAGACAAAAGAGTACAGAGATCAACTGAAGCACTAACATATTGTACATGATCCAATAAACATCTGGGGCTTTTAAGTCTAGGTCATTAATTTTTTTTCATTTTCATTTTGAAAAATATAAAAATCTTTTCATGACATATTGCAAGTCAAGTTGCTCTGAGTAAAAAAGACTTGTAGAAAATTTCAATTGCTATAGTTACCCAGAACAAACACACCCAATGGTGGAAATAGACGATTTTTGCAAACAAGATAACAAACTAGGTTTTAACGCTAAAATGACAGCATTAGTTTTTTTAGTTCTAAATATTTTTGCCTCCAAGCTGAACCTCAAATAAATAAAACTTTTCCAAAACATTTTACAGGCTATATATTTAAAACTTCTATGATCTATCTAAAATAAACAGTCCCTATTTTACGTAGACTGAATGGTTCACGTCCCAGCCAATTGTCTTTAGAATAAACCATGAGAATTTTATCAAGTTACCTTTATTATTTTTCGAATTATCGTGCACGAAAGTAAGGGGAATGACAATTTTAGCTTGCTAAGAAAAACTAAAAAAGTTTTTCATTAATTATACAGAACAATGAAACAAGCTAATCGACTCCTTAAATTTTTAAAACAGGGTAAATCTACATTTTCAATGACCAACACCACCTTAATGAAATCTGCCAATTCTAGAGAGAGCATTTAATAGAGAGAGGCATTTATATCATTAGCACCACCATATTTTGAAGAAGTGAAAATACCACTAAGACTAAATATCAATAATTTGTGATGCCATTCTAATACATACAGCATCAAGTGTTAGTTAATGCAGTTTGTGCATGTTTAAAAAGTCTCCCATGTGTTTCAAAGTCGCAATTTAGGGCATGCCTATTGCAAAAATTTCCTCATTGTCAAAGTTTGTGCAAACTGTTTGTGAATGTTTCCAAAACAAAACAATTAAATTACAAATTAAAATTGAACATTATAACCAGACACTCTGAAACACACAACCACACTAGGGACATTAAACATTACTGGGACGATTAAGTTCAAAATGGAAAACAAAATCATCTATTTATTGAACAACTGAGCTGAAATATTTGATGTAAATAGTTTAATTGTCAATGGAAGTACATATTTAATGCGTAAGATGCAGGTACATTCATTCACAAGATCTGTTAGAGTACTTTTAAACTTGGGTTATCCACCGTTTAAGCTAAAGCCTTTCGAACAACCGGCCCCTGGTGTTTTGATTCGGAGGAGGCATTTATTAGACATAGATGCCTAATGCAAACATATGTTGAAGAGAGTAGTTTCAGACGTTTATAGGATAGAGACCGTTCATTGCTTATTAAGTGCAATCAAATCGAGTCCGTAAAATGCTGTAATACTATGACACAAGTTACTCAATATTCAATAACCTATCAAGCTCATTTGGAATATACAAAGGAAAAGGAAAGCCCAAACGAAAATCATATTTGATTATATTTATGTAAGAAACTCACCGTAAAATGACTGAAGTACGTTTTCAAGGAGGGACTTTGTTATCCACCATGTTACAAATGAATTTGTTTGGATGCTTCCTTCTAAAAATGCAATATATACCAACTGCAGTTAATCCATACATCTTTAGCAACACTTGTTCAGTTCTAGGCAGACAATTTTTGATGCACAATTTTTAAAATTAATAAATATACCTTGTTATTCTGTGAGCTGATAAAAGCCTGATCTCATTTACAATCTATAAGATATCAAAAGTTGAAAAGTTTTACTCATTTGTAAAAGTTATAAGTAATCAGATGATAAAAGGCGAACATGCAGAAGGTGGGTTAATAGTTCACATAATTCCACAATATTTGTCCATTACTAGCTGGTAGTCATCACAGTAAACCATCAATTATGAGTAAAAGCAATCAGCTGTAATCGTTCCACATGTTAAATTCCACTTATTCGAATTCGAATAAGCTTTATATCGCTTAAGATTACACTTAAAGAATAAAGCAAGAGACGGGAATATTTTCAATACCTTTCCGAGCTTGTAGCGCCAACAATTTACGATCTTTTTGCAAGCAAAAACATTTCTTGATTGACCACCATATTGAATAGATCGAGAGAGAAGCTCGTCGTGAACTGCGCATGTGTTAGGTTCAGCATAAATTATTACATCATAGATACGATTACGTAAACTTCATTTGCATATATCGTAGCTAGAGATTTGCCAGGCGGAAAACGGATTCTTATTATAAATATGAGAGCCCAACATATAACCTTAAAGAAAGTCATCATTACTTTTAAACTTCAATTGTTTTGATGGCTTTCTTAAATGTTATATGTTGGGCTCTCATGTTTATAATAAGATTCATTTGCATATATTGATTAGACTGATCATAAATTAAAAAGGAAGACAAAAGAGGTTGCTACCACAACCCGGGGGCACTTTGGGGAGAAAAACAAACCCCGCCGCGCCCCATTGAGGTAGCAGAGAGGAGAGTTTTTAGAAAGATCCCGAAGGATCTCCAACGATACCGCCATAGGCAGCACCGAGAGAAGACAGTCACATAATTCTATTTATTCAAATTAACTATATACTTATTTAAAAGAATTCTAAATAAAACTAGATCAAAATTAACTATTCTAATCACCATGCATTTTCCAATGGGCTGTTTAAACTCTTCGAATGTCATAATGATTGTTGTTCTTCCTAATTTTTATAGAAAAGGAGTACTTCGCACGTAAAGTTAAAGTTAAGAAACTTTAAAAAACCTCTGCAATCTTAACATTTAGTCCAAAATCGTCTACCACTTCAAGTTCTTTTCTATAGAAAGGTGATCTAGATCCCCTTACACTCGCATGTACCGATCTTAGAATTTCGAAAGAGATTCTGGTTCTCAACCAAGCTATGAAAACTGCATAACGTTCATGGTCTCTTGCTGCTAATTTCTGCGCCAGCTGAGTAAGAAACTTGTGGCATTCAGACCCCATTCCACCATTGGTTCCAAGAACAAGTGGGGTAAAGGAGCCCATTTCAACATCTAAAACTCTCTGTTGGTATTTTCTCTTCTTTTCGTTCTCGTGTTCCTTAAAAGTGTTCTGGGTTGGCCGGCCTTGGTTACATCGGGAGTTTACATGCGTTACTCTTACGTCAAAAAATGCAGTAGCTCCACGTAGCCAGAAACCGTCCGCCTTCATGTCCAATCTCGCTTCGGGACTTATATTGGCCGATCTCAAGTCAAATCTCTCATTATCAAGGGGTTGAAGATGAGGCTCAATTTCCACATTCTTACACACTTTATCCAGTTGCGCTGTTAGCAAATTACGGATTCCATCGTGCCTTTGTGCCACGAACCCACCTTTTTTACAAGAGAGGGCATGATTGATGTTAAAGCGATCTCCACACGCACAATGACTTGGTAAATCGTTCAAAGTTAAATTGTATCTCATTCGTAACGAGTCTCTGAATTCTTGCTTATTGAGGGCTAGACCTTGATCTTTGAGTGGAATCGCATTTAGCCCAGGAACTCGCTCCTTTGTCGGGATTGCTTTACCAAGAACAGTAGGTCTGGAGAAAGTGTTGCATCAATGTTATCCATTCTTGACTAATAATTTCCGCTTTGTTTGCTTGCTGCATTCGCTTCAGATCATCTATAGACTGCTCTATCGGTTCCAGAGCCTCACTCTGCGTTTAATTGAATTTACATGTTGATTAGTAAATAATTTTGAGGCTGCATATTGCAAAGGAGCTTCTATTCTCAAATTCGGTACGCCTAATCCCCTTGAGCTACGTTAGGGTCACAAGTTCACGAAGCTCACTCGCAAGGGGTTCTTCTTGACCAAAAATTGTGGTACGAGAATGTCATTCAATTTTCATGTATCGTTCTACGTACTCTTCGAAGGCCTCAATTGTTCGCATGAAGTAGGTAAATTTTGATTTGTATGCTTTCGTAAGGGCAATGTAGGCTGCATGAGGCTGGCTTTTCGCGATTTCCGTGAGTGATGAGATATCTTGTACCCATCCTTGAATTTTTTCTTTACAATACTCATCTTTATATTCTTTTGATCCTATAACAGCACCCAAATAGCGTTTTCCTTCTGTTGTAATTTTAACTTCTTCTCCAAGATCTGCTCTGCTTCTTTGGCCAGTTCTTGCGTCTTCACTATCAGCCAACACTTTGGACCATTTACTAGATAGCCGTGTTTCTTTCCTTGCTCTTCCAAATGCTTATACCAATTATATAAATGTGTCAATCTTCCTCCTCCCACTGAGTCATCCCAGCCATACTTGTTTGATTTCTGGTATGTTCAATTCAAACTTTGAATCATTATAGCTGTGTTAATTGAGTACCAGGACATAGCTAGAGGATCCCCTTGGGTGGTACCTTCTTGCGACAAAATCTCACCTCCCCCACATATGAATAGCCTGGAGGGGCATCTGTAGGTGTTAATGATGTATATGGACATTCTGTTGCAGGTTATTCAAAGATTGTGCAATGTTACCGCTGTATTCATTTGGTTAAAAGCATTGGTCGCATCAATTAATAGGATTCCATCAGTCCCTTCTTCCAAAAAAACATGGTTCATGGCATGTATTGCTGCCTCGGCCCCAGCACTGTATCCTGCACAAACTTGCAATGGCCCCGCTGCTTCCCTTATCTGCTCTCAAGAATAAAGTTACTGTCTTACCGATTATTCTTCGCAGCACTTCCCCACTCCAATTGGTCGAATTCCAGGATGTTTATCTAGTGGAATTAGCCTACAGGATGTGTAGCTTTTTAACAGGATGGATGGTAGCATAATTTCAACAGATTTTTGGTCATCGTTGATATTTCTTCTCTTAAGATCTTACCTTCGTTACTGAAATTCTTTGAGCATAAAATTCGTCGGTATATGTCTGCGTCCATACCAGACGGTCCAGCTGAGCCCTTAGTTTTAAAAGCTGCGTCATAAATCATCTGCTCATTGATGAGGTCGAAAATATTGGACGCGATTCGATCTACGGGACCATTTAGGAGGCATTCGTCCTCTACATCACTGGCTGCCGGGTGTTTCTCTTTCAAAGCTTCCAAAGTTTCCGGCGAAAGATCTAGTAAACCCGGGGAGCTTTCTTTATCCAGAAATTTAATCGCCGCGGATAGTTTTCCTTGCATTACCAATCTGGCGGAAACTCTGGAGATATCATTTACTGTGCGGGGTTTCTTGATGATAAGAATCGATCTTGTATAAATCTCACTTCTTTCATTAGTAGATTCAAGTCCCCTTGCTTCCATAGGGTTAATCTTCGTTTTATCGCTGTGCTGTGTTCTTTGCTCTTTGATGTTGCCGAGGGCTTTTGGAGAATCAAAGATGGAAGCACCATAAAGGCTTTCAATGCAATCGAATTGAGATCAGAATTGGAATTGAATTGCTTTAGCCAATAAGTAAAGTCTGCAATGAAATCTTTTCCCGCTCTGCCGGAGGGTATATTAAAAATGTTCCTTCTAAAATGGACGATTTCGTCATAGATTTTACAAATCTGATCGCATAAACTTTGTTGACTAATAGAACCCCACATTTTTTCTTTGATTTCAGACACCATAACATCCAATTCAGGTAGATTTGGCTTATTATTTGCATTTCCTGTGTCATTATATTTTGGTTCCAGTGGTGTCACAGGGGAACGATTTGGAATGCGAACATTATTGTGCTCTGTGCTAATTTCCGTTGTATGGCTTTGTTCCGATTCCATCAGTCCCAGAGGGGATTTGTAAAGCGCATTCTCCGTGTCCATGCAAATTTCTGCAGCTTTACCGTTGCAGAGGCGTACTGCAGTTTCCCCTTTGCTTTCTCAGGATTTATTTTCGCATGTCCTAATTTCTCGATATTTGAACTATCTATTAGAATTGCTTGCTGTGCGGGGTGTTGAAAGGCGACGGTACCCGACTCGTTCTCCATACAGCTTGATTTCATTTTGAGCTTAGAGCATTTTCGAAGCTTACATATCTGATGACTTGTCTTTCTATTCAAACAACAATTACACTCGCCACAATTTATTTTCCTCAGGCACGAATCGCAGCTACCACATTTTCTCCTTCTTTTCTTAACAACACCTTGCTCTAAATCGACTATATTGCCTCGCTGTCGCATCTTGACCGCCAAAGTTTGTTCATGACTCTCAAGTTCATTTGATCAAGACCTTCTACATTCGTCGTAACTGGATCGTAATTTTCGATTGTAGAAACATCGGTAATATTTTCTACATCATTTTCTACTAGTTGTATTAAATGTTCAGCCAAATCACAAGAATTTTGGCTGATATTTTTTGAAATCGCAGAGCCCAAAATTTCATGACCGTCTGCCAGAAGTGACCACAAAAAAGAAGGGTCAAGAAAGGAAAGATGACAACCGAAAATCCTCAGAAGAGAAGACCACACAACGCCACAACATCTCATTAAAAATGTCTAGTATATATGTGACATAGCTCAGTGTTGATTGTGGGAGTGTTCCACATGGGCACTGAAATCTTAACCATGACCATATTAGTTCACTGGGACTGCGTGGCTTTTTTGCTATTCTATTTGCGTTTGATCATTTGGCATTTGCAATAGCATTTAGATTTGTTCAAAAAAAAGCAAAGTGAAAAATGGAAAATTTCGTTTTGGCGGATAGTGTATATATAGCGAACGTACCCAAACGTCCATAACGAGTACGTACAAGTCGCAGATGTAGTAAATTACGCGGACCTACAAAACATCCAGGTGCTTACATCGTATGTATACTTGTGAACTTTGAATTAATTTTTCATCAAGCCTTGGACATAATTAAGCCCTTTTTTTCAAGCAGCTAATTACCGAAACTTTCCAACAGTAACACGAAATTCTCCCTCGAAACCCAATAAAAAATAATCTTTTCTTTCAGGTCTTGACGAAAACATTTTTTTCCCGATGCAAAATTCGAACCACCACCAACTTACAAGTTGATACACCATTGTCGTTACCCTGCGACTATTGCCTCTTCGATACTAAGTGGTGTTTTTTATCTTACTTAAATCTTTTTTTTCAAGAGGCTTTTGAAAAAAATTTGTCCAGCATTCGAACCATTACCAAAATAAACACGAGAACACCAAATTCTCCGTTGAAACCCAACAAAAAAGGAGTAAGTCTATTTTGACGAATTTTTCAACTGTTCAAAAAATGTCTTAAACTGCTAAAAAAAAAACGGCTTCGTAAGACTAATAGCTTTCATTTTAGAGCATATTTGGTTGCTTTTTGGAACATTGAAAAGGTCGTCGTCAATTTTGACTAAAATGGTAAGGCTTACCCCTTACAATTTTGGTCAATTTTGACAAGTTTTTGAGTTTGAGATGGGTGACCACGCTTTGGTTATGATGTCAATTATTTATATAACAAAACCATGTTTTGGTTATGTTGGGAAAATGTTGGGAAAGTGTTGGGAAAATGTTGGGAAAATGTTGGGAAATGTTGGGAAATGTTGGAATGTTAGGGAGATGTTGGGGAAATGTTGGGGAGATGTTAGGGAATGTGGGAAAATGTTGGGAAAATGTTGGGAAAATGTTAGGAAAATGTTGGGAAAATGTTGGGAAAATGTTGGGAAAGTGATGGAAAAATGTTGGGAAAATGTTGGGAAAATGTTGGAAAAGTTGGAAAATGTTGGGAAAAAGTTGGGAAAAAAGTTGGAAAAGTTGGGAAAAGTTGGGAAAAGTTGGAAAAAAGTGGGAAAAGTTGGGGAAAGTTGGGGAAATAGTGGAAAATAGTGGTGTAAAGGTTGGGAAGATATTGGAAGAAGTGTGAAAAGTTTTGGAAAAGTGGGGAAAAATATTGGAAAATTGAGGGGAAAGGTTGGGGAATGTTGGAGGGAAATTGAGAAAGGAAGGAAAGGGGAGAGGAGGGAAGAAAGGACAGAGAAGGAAGAAAAGGGAGGGGAAGAAGGGGAAGAGGGAGGGAAGGAAAAGAGAGGAAGAAGAGGAGGAGAAGGAAGAGGGGAAGAAAGAAGAGGAGAGGAGAGGAGAGGGAAGAAGGGGGAAGGAAGGAAGGGGGGAAGGGGAAGAGAGAAGGGAGAGAGAAAGGGGAGGGAGAGAGGAAAGGGGGGGAAGGAGGAGAAAGAAAGGGAAGGGAGGAAGAGAGAGAAGGAGAAGAAAAGGGGGGAAAGGAAGGGAAGAAAAAAAAAAGGGGGAAAAAAGGGAAGGGGAAGAAAAAAAAAGGGGAAAAAGGGAAAAAAAAGAGGAGAGAAGAAAGGGGGGAAAGAAAAGGGAGAAGAAAAAGAGAGAAAAAAAAGGGGAAGGGAGGAAGGAAAGGAGAAGGGAAGGAGAAAAGCAGAGGGGAAGAGAGAAAAGGAGGGAAAGGGGGGGAAGAAAGAAAGGAGAGAAGAGGAGAAAAAGAGAAGAGAGGAAGGGAAAAGAGGGGGGAAAAGGAGAGAGAGGAGGAAAAAAGAAAGAGGAAAGGAAAAGGGGGAGGGAGAGGAGGGGGAAAGAAGGAGAGGAAAGG